AGATAGAGATAATAGCCGATAGTGTGATAGACAGAGATAGTAACTGATAGTGTGATAGACAGATAGAGATAATAACCGATAGTGTGATAGACAGATAGAGATAATAGCCGATAGTGTGATAGACAGACTGAGATAATAGCCAATAGGGTGATAGACAGATGGAGATAATAACCAATAGTGTGATAGACAGATTGAGATAATAACCGATAGTGTGATAGACAGATTGAGATAATAACCAATAGTGTGATAGACAGAGATAATAACCAATAGTGTGATAGACAGATGGAGACAATAACCGATAGTGTGAGAGACAGACTGAGATAATAACCGATAGTGTGAGAGACAGACTGAGATAATAGCCAACAGGGTGATAGACAGAGATAGTAACCGATAGTGTGATAGACAGAGATAGTAACCGATAGTGTGATAGACAGATTGAGATAATAACCGATAGTGTGATAGACAGATAGAGATAATAGCCAATAATGTGATAGACAGATAGAGATAATAGCCAATAATGCGATAGACAGATGGAGATAATAACCGATAGTGTGAGAGACAGACTGAGATAATAGCCAACAGGGTGATAGACATATAGAGATAATAACCAATAGTGTGATAGACAGAGATAGTAACCGATAGTGTGATAGACAGATGGAGATAATAACCGATAGTGTGATAGACAGATTGAGATAATAACCGATAGTGTGATAGACAAAGATAATAGTGTGATAGACAGATAGAGATAATAACCAATAGGGTGATAGTCAATAGGGTGATATACAGACTGAGATAATAACCAATAGGGTGATAGACAGAGATAATAGCCAACAGTGTGATAGACAGAGATAATAGCCAATAGTGTGATAGACAGATTGAGATAATAACCGATAGTGTGATAGACAGATTGAGATAATAACCAATAGTGTGATAGACAGATAGAGATAATAACCAATAGTGTGATAGACAGATGGAGATAATAACCAATAGGGTGATAGACAGATAGAGATAATAGCCGATAGTGTGATAGACAGATAGAGATAATAACCGATAGTGTGATAGACAGACTGAGATAATAACCGATAGTGTGATAGACAGATTGAGATAATAGCCGATAGTGTGATAGACAGATAGAGATAATAACCAATAGTGTGATAGACAGATAGAGATAATAGCCGATAGTGTGATAGACAGATAGAGATAATAACCAATAGTGTGATAGACAGATAGAGATAATAGCCGATAGTGTGATAGACAGATAGAGATAATAACCAATAGTGTGATAGACAGATAGAGATAATAGCCGATAGTGTGATAGTCAATAGTGTGATAGACAGATTGAGATAATAACCGATAGTGTGATAGACGGAGATAATAGTGTGATAGACAGATAGAGATAATAGCCAATAGTGTGATAGACAGATAGAGATAATAACCAATAGTGTGATAGACAGATGGAGATAATAGCCGATAGTGTGATAGACAGACTGAGATAATAGCCAATAGTGTGATAGACAGATTGAGATAATAACCGATAGTGTGTTAGACAGATAGAGATAATAGCCAATAGGGTGATAGACAGATTGAGATAATAACCGATAGTGTGATAGACAAAGATAATAGTGTGATAGACAGATAGAGATAATAACCAATAGGGTGATAGTCAATAGGGTGATATACAGACTGAGATAATAACCAATAGGGTGATAGACAGAGATAGTAACCAATAGTGTGATAGATAGAGATAATAGCCAATAGTGTGATAGACAGATTGAGATAATAACCGATAGTGTGATAGACAGATTGAGATAATAACCGATAGTGTGATAGACAGAGATAATAGTGTGATAGACAGATAGAGATAATAGCCAATAGTGTGATAGACAGATAGAGATAATAACCAATAGGGTAATAGACAGATAGAGATAATAACCGATAGTGTGATAGACAGATAGAGATAATAGCCGATAGTGTGATAGACAGATAGAGATAATAGCCGATAGTGTGATAGACAGACTGAG